ACACACACACACACACACGCACGCATGCATACCCTTACACATGCCCATAAATCAGCTGCTTGACCGCTTGAGCATCTCTACTCCAATAATGTTTGGGGTTCGGTTAGTTTTAAGGCATCAGAATCTGTCATTCTGCTCAATCTTCCTCATTCTCAGCGACACCATCTCTGTCAATATCAGTTGATTATTACACCATCTCCTTCCGCTCATTTGCATTCATAGTCATCTGGTTGTGCACAAACCAGAAACAGAAAATATGATTTGTCATGCTAATAAAAGAAATAGTGGAGCTAATGCTATCAATAATCACTCTGTTCCATTTATGTATGACAGTGCTCTGGCAGCGAGGCAGCATATACAATCTAAAGGCCTGGCCACTGATACACATAAATAGAATGAAGCAAGTAATAATGTCATTAGTTACACTTTTTATTGAGAGGTCATGTGAAAGTTGTTAATTTCTTTTCCTCTCTTTACTTGTGTACCCTTCCTACATCAGCATATTGCACAAACGCAATCATAATGGGAGTAAGCAGGTGCCTGTTTGGAAAAAAGGTCCTCCCTTGTGACCATGCTGTTGCGTTCAAGCTTTGGTCCCAGCAGCTAATATCCTAATCAGAGTCCTTGTTGCATGGGCTAATCTGGTGGCGACAGAACAGGAGCTGTAATAAGGTAGCCTTGGCGGATCAAAATAAAGGCTACAGCACAGTGGAGCCCGAAAGTGACAACTCAGTCTATCATTATAAATCAGATTAGGCCAGAGGGAAGGTACCCAAGTACTAACCAGGTACTTTAAAAGGCAAATCAGCACTGAGTCATTTAGGACATCCTTGGTGTGTGAGCAGGTGTTCTGGCTTCAACAGATGATGGAAAACACCTGCTATGAATTCACTGATGGTATAACTGGAATTATAGTGTGCAGATGGAGTCCTCCGCCCTTAGTGAGTTTCTTGTGATTTTTTTTTTTTTTTTTTTTTGTAATCAAATAATCTATGCAGGGAAAAAAAATAATAATGTTGCAGATGACCGAAACAAATGGACAAATATGCTTTCATGTTGGGGAAATGTTTCGTTAAAGTCTTAGTAGGGACTGTTTGTCTCTTAGCTGATGATAAAACAAACCTGCATTCAAACAAGTTTGACCTATTTTAATCAAATACAGCTTGGACAAAATTAAGGGAACATGAACTGGAAAAATAAATTCATCTCTTGACTGTGAAAAAAAAAGACAGAAAAGATGTGACAGATATTAATGCTGTTCGATTTCTGATGTCATTTTAAAGAGTTTTTAACTCCTATCCTCAAGATAACATGCAAATGCAAAGGGATTAAAAAAATACATACATTTTGTGATTTTACTTTAAATGTTAACATCAGCATAAAAGCATCAATTCATGTTTTTATTGCAAAACATCGTATTCAGAATGGTATATAAACAAGATTTATATTGTGACTGATCGAACATTAAATTTACAAACGTGTGTGCGTTTCCACTGCTTTTTAATCAGAGAACTGAGCAAAAGTGAATTGCACTCATTTATTTAGTTGCTTGTTAATTTCACAAATTAAAGTTTGTGCATTCATGAAAAAATAACTACAAAACAAACAATGTCTTTCATTGCAGAACAAATATTAAAGTCCCTTTTTACCACCCTACTATTGGATTTCTAAAGATTGCTTTAGTGCTGTAGCTGTGATGTGATTTTTTTTCTTTTTTTACATTGGGAGGTATGAAGTAGAACATTTTTTCAACTTGTCACATATCACATTAAATTTAGATCTCCTGGATAACTCTGATCTGTCTCAATCAGTTCAATATAGATCTTTCTTTAAAAGACAAACATTGTTAACCATTGTTAAAATGATCTGATCAGTTCATTTATAACATGCCATAATTCCTACCATCTTAATTATATCAATATTCAGTTTGAATTGAATGTAAGCTGTAACTTCTTGATTTTTTTATGCATTTGTCTTAACTTATTTCCAGCTCAGCTTATCTCTTTTGTTAAGCATGAATCAAAATCCTTTAACAAATAAACCATAATGAGTCATACTCCAACCCTTTTCAATCACCATGTTTTTTTTTCTCCTGATATAATTACTAATGAGGTTTATAGAGATATGTGTCATTTCAAATGACCACTGTAAAAATACCAAATGACCATGCCGTGGAGTGAAATTCGAGAAGAAATGTGCCGTTTGTTAACAAGCAGATGGTGTTTGGTAGTGAACTGTTAATACAAACATGTACGTTGAATATTTAGTATCAGTGAGTTTTGTTGGTGTGCCAGTTGAGGAGTTTAGAGTTTCATCTAAATTCTGGCACACATTCTGGTTTGGTCTACGGATGTGTGTTTGGATGCGCAACATGATCATCAAGCCACCACACATCTATCATGCACTGTATTGTTGGTAAAGTGTTTGTCGTGTAGGGGAAGGTAATCTGTCATGTGTGTGTTGCTGCTACATGAATACTGATGCATGAAGCTAATAGCATGACTGACTATCATTTGAACTTGATTTCCATAATAATACAGTCAAAAGGAGTTTGCACACATGCATGCACATTGTTAATGGAGTGTCTGAGTTCAGTCAGATCAGCTCTTATTTTAACTTGTTAAAAGTAATAAAATATGTTGATTGAAAGGTACTGATATTTATCAGTAGCCATGCTACTTCATTGAGGTACTGTGTTCACTAACACAAAATCTCATTTCTAAGTTTTTCAAAGGACATCAGTGCACAAGTTATGCTTAAAGGATGAACACTCTTCAGAGAAAACAATCAACCGTAGTTCATTTTTCTTATGATCTCTTCTCTTTCCAGCCTTGCCCAGTTACACTTGTGGTAATCCTGGACAGCTACTAAATGGCCACCAGCAGGGCTCCAGTTTTAATATCGGGGATAAAATCCGCTACAGCTGCAGTCCTGGCTACATGTTAGAGGGTCACACCACCCTGTCCTGCCTTGCCACTTCAACTGGTACTGCAGCCTGGGATTTTCCACTTCCTTACTGCAGAGGTAAGTAGAATGAACAGCAGCAATCCTGCAGTTGTTAAAAAATATGCTTGATCTCAAAATAAGTAGAGTCACGAAACACACATTTAAATTATTTCTATATTTAGTGACTTTGACAAACAGTTTTAGTCACAACAATTAAAAAAATGGTTCCAAGGTTCCAAAAAATATGTTTTGGAAGTGAATTAATACCATAGTTTGCAAGCTGTGGTGCAAGTGCCACTGGGTGATACTTAAGATCCCTCTTGTGGTACACAGAAGTATTTTTGGTATCAACCATCAAACTGAAAAAAAAAAAAAAAAAGAAACAAACTAATTAACTTTCAGAAGCTGTATGTGATGAAAAAAAAGGCAGAGAGAGCCAAAAGATGAGTGGTTCAAGCAAATTACGATCTTGGCTGCAAATAGAAACAACTGGAAGGAGAAGTGCAGTGGAAAATATTTCAAAACACCCCCCTGCCGAAGCTGAAGTGGATGATGGTGAAGCAATCTACTAGTGGCTACTTAAGCATTGCCAGTGAAGTCTCTTATCGGATCCCCTATCAATAAATAAATAAATAGATAAATAAATAAATAAAAGAGGCACAAATCTGTGAGGAAACTTGATTAAAATTATTTCTTGTTTGCATTTAATTGTTTGGGGCAGAGGAAGAGCCAAGTATTTGAAATTTTGTTCTCAGCAAAAAAAATCTAAAACTCTTACATCTTAAGGTGACTTTTCACTCCACTACATTTCTCTAAAGACTTTAGTTACTTGTTCCTTTTTTTGTGTTCATACCAATATCTTATTTACTGTGTCAGGACCTCATGTGTTTCCTCCCAGTCAGGTGCTTGTGCCAGTTGTCCCTCGCTCAGAGTTAGCAAGCACCCCTGCGGCAGCGACACCTGCCATTGTGCTGCCTGACCTGACACAACACCGTTTTGAAGAATAGTTGTATGTGAGCAAAAGTCACTCTGATGGGGGACAAATTTACATAATTTATAAGGGAGCAAAAATAATGCATTTTCACATGGCTGAATAGGATGCACACGTCTTAGTCATGTGAGCCAGCGTGCATGCGAAGTCCATTTGCTGTCTTGTGTGCACGCGTGCGTGTGTGAGTTCCCTTGGATTCTTGTAGCCATTGGTTTGTGTCAGTGTGCCTGCTGAGCGGCCCGCTGAGACACTATGCCATCTGTAGCCAGGCCGGGTGTCAGGAAGCCCACAAAGGAGCACACATGGCTGGGCACCACGAGCCAGAACAATCACCACCTACCCAGCAAACGCAGGCACATGACCATATGAGAAAAAAGTGGGATGATATTGCATAGGCATTAGTACATTTTACTTTGTAATGAAATTTATAGTAAGAAACTGTCAAAGAACTATAACAACATTCAGTGTTTTTTCTTTTTTTACATAAATAACCAGCTATTGCTGTTAAGACTAATTTTCAGCTTTCATTCTTCTCCTAATGCTCACCCAGACTCTGTTCTTAAAAAAAAAATCTCAAGGACTGAGGGATGTGATTATGCCACCTTTTCAGCTGAAATTACATGCCAACAAGTTTTAGAAACTTGCAATTTGGTTGTGATTAATTGAGGTCCTCTGGTGACCACATAAAAGTCAACTTTTACACCTGAGTGCTCCTTCATAATGTGCAAGTGTATTGTTAATGTCACTTCAATTTTAGTGGCTGCCCATATGTGGGGAGGGGGTGGGGGGGGGGGGGCAGGGCGCCCACTTTACTTTTAAAGCAAGAGGCACATTTTCTGGCATCGTCACCACTTTGGACTCAAGACAGTGCTGATGTGCCAGCGCTGCTGAGCCAAGGATGATAGCCACCTATCGATGGCACAGATAATGTTTTACATGTCCTGTGTCATGCTCATCAATTTGTTTTCTTAGCTGTAGAATACATTAAGTCCAGTCTGATTAAAACTTAAACTGTATTTTTGTCACTGCTCTCATACAAATCTATCTCCTTTTTAGTTTTATCAAGTTGTCAAGAAAGGAGCCTGCAACTAAAAATATCAAAATTACCCAGTGTGCCGTCACTATTGTCATATTATCACATTTATTTGTACTTCCTGCTATGACGTGAAAATGTTTGCATACCCCTTGCATGTTTTTGCATTTTGTGACATCACAACAAACACTTCAAATATACAAATATTTCACTGGTATTGTTATGTGATAGATCAACACAAATCAGTGCAAAAATACAACGTGGAAGAAAAAAAACATGGTTTCGTGTAAAAAGTTTGGTGGGAATTTCATTTCGGACCTGAATCAACAGTTCCCACTGTTCACTCCCAATATGGCTGGAAATATTTTGGGGTATTTTTTCACCACTTTCCACATCTGAAACCTTTTTCATATTGTTCTTCGCAAAATTGCTCAAGCTCAATTACTTTAGATGGGAAGCAACCATCAAGAAAGTTTTCCAAGTCTTACCCGAGATTCTAGGTTGATTTAGGTCTGAACGTTTACTAAGACATTCTAGCACAAGGATAGGCTTTAATCTAGATCAATGGTCTTCAGCATTGTTCCTCGTGACACCATGTCCAGCATGTTTTAGCTGTTTCAATGCATGCTTCGGCACACCTGATTCTAATAATTAAATTACCTTCTCAAAATGTCAAGTTTAACAGAAGCCTGTCAATCACTCATTCATTTCAGTCAGGTGTGTTGAAGCAGGGAAACATCTAAAACATATAGGACAGTGGGTGATGAGGAACAGGGTGGAATACCTCTGATCTTGATCATTTCATTGCAGCTCTGGCTCAATTTTTCATGTCTTTGTCCAGCTGAAAGGTGAACCTCAGCCCCAGTCTCAAATCTTTTGCTGACTCCAACAGGTTTTCTTCCAAGATTGCCCTGTATTTGGCTCCACCCATCTCCCCATCAACCCTGACTAGTGTCCTTGTCCCTGTTTCAGAAAAGCACCCCCACAACACAGTGCCATCAATACCATGTTTCAGGGCAGGTGTGGTGTTCACTGATAGTTTTCTGCCACATGTAGCAGTTTGCATTCAGGTCAAAGAGATTGGTGTTAACCTTATCTGCCCATAGCACCATCTTCCACATGTTTTGCTGTGTCCCCTACAAGTTTGAAAGCAAACAAGACTCTTGTGGCTTTCTTTCAACAATGGCCTTCTTTGTGCCACTCTTCTACAAGGATCAATCTTGTGGAGTGCATGACTAATAGATGCCCATGGGGACATATTCTCCTACCTGAGCTGTCAATCTCTTCAGCTTCTCCTAAAATACCATGGGCTTCATGGCAGCTTCTTGGATTAATGCTCTCCTTGCCTGGCTTCTCAGTTTAGGTGGATAGCCATGTCTTCGGAGATTTGCAGTTGTGCCATACTCTTTACATTTATTGATAATGGGTTGAATAGCACTTTTTAAAAAGGGATATGCAAACTCTGCTTTTTTAGCTGTTAAAGCTGCCTCTGGCTTTGGGTCAGACTCTGGCTCCAACATGTAAAGCTTGATGGACAATTCTAGTTGTTGACATGTTTTAGCAAATTTGTAAATAAAAAAAGTTTCTGCACTGCTTTAAAGTTGTAAGCCGCTCTATCAAACCAGAATGCACTGGTCTGGAAGCTGGAGGGGTGGCATTTAAAGAAACAGCCTCAAAATGAGATGATCTGAGACACACCTCAGAAAATGGGTGAAGCTTGAACAATTACAATAAGGGAAGAATTCAGACCAAAGCATTGCAGTTCTGGTTTGCATAGAACTCAACTGAATTATTAAAATGTGGATTTCTTCTTTAAGATGTTCAAACCTAACCCTGCTTTAAAATTCTTGACTTTATCCCTAAACTTTCTGCTATCTTCCTCGGTCTTTATGATGCTGTTAGATAACAGATGTTCCATAACATCTCTGAGGCCTTCACAGAACAATTATATTTGAAATGAGATTAAATTACACACAAGTGGATTTGATTTCCTAATTGGGTGAATTCTGAAGGCAGTTGGTTTCACTGACTTTTAGTTTTGGGCATCAGAGTAAAGGATATTAAATACAAATGAATGGCACACTTTACATAATTGTACTTATGTATCATCTTACTTCCACTTCACAGTTATAAACTACATTTTGTTGTTTGTCACATAAAATCACAGTTTGTGGCAGACATGAGGAATAACTGAAAGCTTTTTCAAGGTATTGAATACGAATACTTTTATTTTTCAGATTTTTGCTTATGCATATTTTGAAGCTTCATATAAAGTTTTTTTCCTCCTTATGTAGTTTACCATAGCTCCTACAGTATTCGTATACTCTATACAGCACACAACTATCTCAGTATATCTTTTTGGAAGCCAATGATATTCTAGGTGACAGCTTTAAATGGTACTGTTCATAATGGCAGAAGCATTTTTGGCATTAGTTTAAAAATGTGACATTTTGCACAATTCACACAATAAAACACCAATGTTCAGTGTTTTTTTTTTTCTTTCATAGACTGCTTTATTTTCAGTTAATACACAGTGGCTGTATTGGCCAATACCAGCCAACGAATGCTATAGGTGACAAAGAGTCAAGATGAGATGGAGAGTTAAGTGTCCAGAGACTTCCTTTCAAGTGTGAAGAAACAGTCCTGTGTGGAATATCAATTCTTTTTTTTCTCTTTTTTTCTGTCTGCATTGTACTTCCAGTCACTCCCACTGCAAAAATCACCTGTCATCTCTCATTCTACCTTTCTCTTTCTTCATTGTCCACCGTTCCTCTGCTGATTTCCCCCAATCCCGTCCTCACATGTCACCTGTCATCTTCTTCATCCCCTTCTCTTCACCCTACCGTCGTGCTTTCCCTCCAATTGAAATTCACACCCCACAGGTTTCCTCTCGTCCGTACACTCCCTGGCCCTCCCTCGGGGGGTTTGCCATGGTGACAGGTAGGATGGATGATAGACAGGGCCAGACGCTTCTGAGATCCTCCTCTTCTCTTTAAAACATCACAAAGAGACAGCTGGCAGGCCACTATAATCAGATCTACAAAAAACACTCACCTCTATTAAAAACAAATAAAAAAGGTTAAAATGTTGGTTAGAATTCCCCTTAATGTGTCTCCTCCATTTTATTGATCTGATCCTCTGTATCCGAAGATACATATTTTCTTTTTTTAAGTCAACATATCATCTACTCTATTATTTAAAGATGCATTTCAAGTATAAAGATGTTATTTAATTATTGCCATGGCAACACAGTAAATTAACCCTTTATTTTTTAAAGCAGTCTGAGGAGTGAAAATATAGCTGTGATTAACACAAAACTGAAATAATTAAAGTTTAATCACTCCCTTCTATGTTACACTAGTTTGCATCATTCTCTATACCTACTTCCTGCTGACTGTAAAATAAAAATAAAAAAATCACTGAGAGGCATTTTGAAATCCTAAGACTGCCGTGTTTCTGGCCTCCAGCAAAACAATATATATATGTGTGTGTGTGTGTGTGTGTGTGTGTGTGTGTGTGTGTGTGTGTGTGTGTGTGTGTGTGTGTGTGT